AAAGATGCCCCTAAAGAATGTCTAGCAGCCAGGGCCAGATTAACATACTGTAGGGACTTTTGGGCTGCCAGTCCCAGGCCCACAGGCTCCAATGGGGTAAATAGGCCTCCGAACCCCAGGAAAAATCACCGAAAATCTGGTTTTATATTTTAGCCACAGATTATTTACTGTAGGCTCACTTGCAATTACATCCCTATGCCCCATAGCTCTTATCGTATATAAAACCAATTTCTAAAGCCTTCCTGGCTCTGGGTCCCTGCCCCACTCACAGACATCAGTTGAATATTTAATTACTCTGTGGTTTGTTGCTATGGTGACCAGCGTTTGGGTTGAACCAAGGAGCCAATGATGTGACTGTGGATTCAAACTGTATTGTAGTCTTACAAGAGAGTGCCTTAGCTCACTCGGCTAAACTGGTGGTAGCCACTGTGTGTGTGCTGAACCGTGGTGATCTCTCCCCGGTTAATTTCCCATCGCTGCTGGTGTTTCAGCTGGAGGGTTTAATTGCAATTTACAAACTAACACGCCGTCTTTTGGATGAGACGTGTAGAGTAAGCATTATGGCCCATGTGCATCTTAAAGCAATAAACAATATGACAATATGTCATAACAAAAAAAAAATGACTACAGTAGTATGGAATCTAAATTGATTGTATTCTTGAATCCCGTTTGTACAAAAATAATATGATGTTTCATCATTTTGCAAGCTATTGGGAATTTTTCTTTTCCACTGATTCAGTAGCTGAATTATTAAAATACTTTACGATTGATAAGAAGTGAGAGGTCAAGAGTGTTATAACCTCTTGCAATGTGGAATAATAATGATGCATTTTAAAGCTAACTATAAAATAGCACATGAATTAGATTTACTATACAGTATATTATGCAAACTATGTTATGTGTGATAAAGCATCAACGCCACTGTACATCTGTACAGTTTAAATTGTACCAGTCCAAAGAAGATGATGATGACGATGATTTATAATTATATAAGTGCTCATTTGGAAAACCTACTGACTTAAATGTATAGTAAGTTGTTGACCAATTCATTTTAGCTGTATTTTGATTTTTTTTTATGTGAAGTACATTTTGTATAATTCATTTTTTTTTATGAATGTAGCATTCATTTATGCTAACTGTATTTTATTATCCATTGACTGATCATTAACATGACTACTATTTATCATTGTTAAGTCTTTACTAATATTAATCATTATTGAATATTTGTTTTTTTTTATTAATAGAATTAAATTATTAAGTAAATTTTTGCATTATGTATAAGTAACTCGTGATGTCATCACTGTATAACTCCGAATGTAATTTTCCTATTCCCAACTGTGCACTAATTATTCATTAGTGCACTAATTATTCATTAGTGCATAGTTTGCTTGATCTGTTTTTGGTTCATGGTTCAAGGTGAAAAAAACTTGTACCAGATGTGTTGCGGAATCGCACACTGCGATGAATTCTAGGCTAGTGTTTTTACACCTAGCTCTACGACGCATCTGCTGAACGAATTTAGATGTAGGCGGGAGGCCACTTAGGCCTAGATTGTAGCCTAGCCTACTGTAGATACTGTAAAATCATCACATGATTCTACCTGTCTGTAACGACCAAAAAATGATGACTTAAGTTACTTATTAAGGCCTTTCAAAATGAAAAAAAAGTCATTGACGCAAAATACCGGATTATAGGGAGCTTGGCATATTTCGGAGGGCCGTAATTGCAAAACGACTTGGATGTTTGGTCTAAATTTTTGTGTGTCTTTATTATCTATAAAAAAGGAACATATTGGTAGATTTTGAGCAAAATCTAATAGGGTCACATGTGGACTTTTCTGAAAATTTGGTGAGTTGACCTGGAATAGCCCTAAACATTAATAGACAGCGATTGACTTATAAAGCAATTAGTAGAGTGTTTATCTTTACAGAGGAAATTATTCATAGGTTAGATAATGCATTAACAAAATTTGAGTAGTGTATGATACGCAACTCTACTAATTGCTTAATATAATGTATAATTTATAATTGTTGACCTACAGTACATATATACCACTGTTGTATTGCATGTGCAGTAAACTCGCTGGCATTGTAGTTCCCAAAAAAACTCTTGCCCCAGTGGCATTTCATGGAAGAACCCAGAACTTAGTAATGATCTAAAACAATATTCTACATTTGTGTGTGTTTCATTAAAGTTGATGGGAGTTTCATTATGGTTCCCTATAACCTGGCGTATGGGATATTGTAGATTCAAAATTTGTGCCCAAATAAATAAAAAAAATTAAGACCATTAAAGAAATGTTGATATCTAAACATGAAAGAAGAATGGAAACTAAATTTGAAATAATCAAACTTTAGCATTGAAAAAAAGTTTATAAAAGGACAAAGAACACTTAGGGAATAAATGGTTCTGTAAAGTCTATAGCATTTATGCTAATAATATAATTGTTTAAGTGATCATGCTTTTCCAGGAAACACTTCCTGACACTTTCGTTGAAGAATCACTATCTTTACAAAATAATTGTCTTCATTCAGTGATTAATACGCTACTCGTAGTTGTACATTATGGTCATGAATTGTGAAAAAAAAAATGAATTGGATTGATTTCGAATGAAATTGTGTGTGTTTAGACATTCATAAGAGAACATTCCTCAGGGAAATTAATATTTAATTTCTAAAGAAACAAATCACCTGAAGAACTTATCTCTGTACAGTACTTCAGCAGTATTTATTTTCCCCTGTGCTTGCCCCTTGGGTGATGTTATGTAGCAAGTTGACTGTGCTCTGTTTAGAGCTGCTCTGTGATGTATTTTTTTAAATGTTGTAATTTTCAGTCAATTTAATATAGTGATTCAGTGTGACAGTATCATGCAAATTGTGCATTGAAATGTAATTTACCACTTTATTATCCTATGAAATTTAATCCGCATTAATGTTGTTATGTACTCTTGAAACTGCTCCGAATGTAATTTAATGTACTATAGGAATCATGATATTAATATTATATTATTATTATTATCATTATTGTTATTATTATTATTATCGTTATTGTGGTTGTCATCATCATCATATTCATTGTTGTCGCCACCGTTATCGTTATTGCACTGTTAATGAATGATTAATTGCTATATATTGGAAAAAGTAGACAAAAATTGATTGTAAATTTTTACTAGCTATCCTTTCACTATAAATTATTATGAAATCTTTTTGAATTACTGTATACAAATAATATTTTGTATGTTGAAAGAATACAGTAAATTTAATAAATTACTCGTTTACAGCTAATTCTTTTGATGCACTTTACTGCACTGCACTACATTATAACTCAATACTACTAGTTTAATAAGTAAATAAATAAATCAGTCAATCAATTAATCAATCAATCATTTATTTTGGACATTCATACCCATAGTAATAAGTCTACTAATAATAGTAAAAATAACAAATAAGTACTTAATTATTTGAGCATAAAAAATAAAATTAACTTTAATAAGAATGGTAATGTAGAATCGGCGGCATACCAAAAGAAAATGTGTGTGTGATTCAAAACTTAAAATGACAATTTGTTGCCAGAAATCAGAAGAACAATGAAGGCTATATTTGGCTGATCCTCTGTCTATAACACTGAAATGGATTTGATTGGAGTTGATGTTGGTTTTGTTGTTAATGTTGCAAGTGATTGTTATTATTTGAATGAAATGCTTTAGTGTACCAGATACAATAACATAGGGGCCTATACCATAATGATATTCTTATAGGCCTATATTATTGGGCTTCTAATAATATGATATATTATAATAATTTATTTGGAACTACCCTTTTTAATCAGTGGCACATTTCTTAATGGAAGGTGCATCCAAAACAATCAATGAAACGAAACAATCAAATTTGATTGTTTATCAAAGTTTACAAACTAAGATATTTAAGCTAACATTAAAATGCAATTCAAATCGAAAGTACAGGTATAGCATAGGCCACTTTTACCGTGACAGCTTGGCCTATCAGCTCGGCCTATAGTCTAATTAAGCCTGGTCTACCTTTAGCAAATTCTTTATATTCTTCAAGTCTATCGAATGTCATTAAAAAAGCTAAGTCATATTTACGTTTGATAAAAACAACATTTATTGATTGAATGTACGTTGTTTTCATACCAATATTCGGTGGGATTCCCAAAGATGGGCGTGGCTCCATTGCCCGTCCATCGACTCATTGCCACGCCCGCTGGCTTGCATTTTGGACGGACTATATCATTTTTCTGGCTAAACCCCTGAGGTATAGTAGACATGTTTAGTGCTATAAAATTAACTTTAAGTGTCATCTTAAACTAAAAACTCATTGCTAATAATAGTATTGTTTTTTCTAATAGTTATTGTAAAATGCGTGTTATGTAGGCCTACCGATCAATAATGTTCAAATTGACTTCGATTTGACATATTGTACCATACTACTTTTATACTACCCTTAAATAGAACATAAAATTTTGTAGTTGCCACAAACTCTTCTTGAATAATATTGTACCATGATACCATTCAATCACATGCTTTAGAATTATTTATGTCATTGCATCGAGAATTAGGCCAACTCCTTAGGCTATTAGTATTATTTACATTAATGATGATATTTATAGGGGGAATTTTGAGGTCTAATTTCTAGAGATTTTGTTTGTATTTTCCTGGTACTGTATATTTGTACTGTATTTTATTTATGTGTACTTTATTCAAATTTGTAAACACCAATTATAGGATGAACATTTATAAATAAGAATACTGTATGATATAAAACAAAGTATACAAATAGATAGTGTTATTACAGATAACGAGTCTCCGGGGCTAGAACAGCAAGTTATGTTTCAAATAGAATTGAATTAATATTCCATCGCAACTAATTTGGTTTTAATTTCTCATATCTTCAGATTGTGTCGAAAAAGCAAGTTATGTTTCAAATAGAATTGAATTAATATTCCATCGCAACTAATTTGGTTTTAATTTCTCATATCTTCAGATTGTGTCGAAGTTGGTACAGTAAAAACGAGCAAACTGGCGACGTCACGTGTTCCTAGCCCACGGCCGCCAGACGTGATGTCAAGCCCTGTAGCAGAAAACTGGTGCTATACCCAGGTATAGTAATTATAATTATGTTTTAATATTAAATAGTTAATCAGCTCACTACTGATAATATTTTGTATCTTATACTGCACAATTTTGTGTGTTTGTTATAAATAATGAAATCACAATACTCATCATTGTTGATTTGTATTCGATCTAATAATATACAGGTAAAGGAAATATTTAATCATAGTTACCAACCTGAGAGATTTGAAATGCGTGACTACACCAGTTGGCTGGGGAGGGGGGTGGGAACCAGGGATGCCAGGGCCCCTGCCTGTCGGGGTCCAGGGGCGGAGCCCCGTGTGTGAGTCAGGGCTTCTGTCACATAAGCAAAAATTTGTGACAATGAACGCGCAAAACCACACGCGCCTCTTTCTTGGCAATTTGATTCTGGAATGATAACGAAAGCCTGTCACCGTTTTCACATTTTTAATAAAACCAATTTCTTCTAATTTTAAATAGATTTTTCCCCTGAATTCGTGATAATTCGTTATCACACATAGACTTGTGCTAAATGCATGTTTCTGCAAAATGCGTGTTGCATCCAAAATCACTTTAAAATGCGGGACCGTCCCGCACGATGCGAGACAATTGGTAACTATGTTTAATGTTTTTTTTGGTGAAAGTTTTAAGAATGTTTAATTTACTAAAGTTGATATTTTTGTATTGCCAATGTTAATTCATTATAATATTAACAACTTATCCGACATGTACAGTAATTAGTTAAAAAAAAGATATTCATTTTGAAGGTGGGGGTTGGGGGTGCAGGCGTTTGAAAGTGAGAAAGATAAATAATGATCTCAAAATGATACAAATCAACATTTTATGTTGTACTCTGATAGGGCGAGGGAGGGGGAATCACAGAAAAGAATATGAAAATGTTGAAAATTATGGAATTTTTTGAGGTATTGTTTGGACGTTAGAATACTTGCTTTCTAATTTCAGGGTACTGGGTTCAAATCCTGATTAAAAATTTGGTGCAATGCATTTTGGTTTTTCCAATATGCCTTGTTGAATTAATTCCTAATGAATGCAAAAACAAACATGCTACTAGTATTGTCAAAATTTCTGTGTCTACTTCGTAAATACTTACCTGGATAAACCGACTAAGATCTTTTGAAATAGATACACCTTGATTCGGAAAATTGTTTACAGTAGAGTTGTCTATAGTTGTTTGGATTTTATAGCCTTGGATTTTTATAGTTTTGTGCTGTGGATATTGTATACTGTCTTCATGGCCGGCAAATCGGAGTGTATTTGTGTATTTTGACTGTGTACTATACATTTACATTTTAGCGGTTGCTAAAGATCCAGCCATTGTTTCTCACAGCATTGGTGTTTACCAGTATTTTGCCTTTTAATTTAAATTTAAAAAAAACAACAGTACAGTACTTGTGGGCCTTTCTTTAAGCACAGTAATAATATCTTGAATCAAACAATAGTTGAAAGAAAATAGTGCATTGTAGTATCAATAAAATAAAATTTAATGTTAAACTTTACAGATAATCATAATACAGTTACTAAAACCAGAAATATTTGCTACTTTATAATAACATCTACAACTTATATGGGCGATAAAGAATAATTATTATTTTCACATTCTATCTCAGAATTAGAGGAAGGAAAAGAATACCTTTTGCAATGTTGGCTAGTTCGCGATTACGATCGTGATGACAACACGACAATGTTTTTTTTTTAAGAAATAAAATTATCTACTTTGCGTGCATGTTTGTATGGTGTAAAAATAGCCTACAGGAATTGGTGTTGACTGGTGTAACAAAATTCACTGTGTTATTTATATTTTGGTAACAAAGATTAAAATAATAAAATGCCATACTAATACTATACAGTACTGTACTAAAAGAAATACCCTAAGTGTAAGATAATATACGTTGTTCTTTCATTAAAAATGGCAGGCTTCGTAAAGCATGGCGGAAAGAAACGAGATATAACAAACACCACGGCTTCTGATTATTGGATCCATGAGATTTGGCCTGATAGCTTGAGCTGGTTTCTTGCTAAATCTAGGATATAGTTCATAGCAATATCTAAGATCATTGTCTCCAGAAACTGCCTCGCCTGTCACGACTCATTGTTTTATGCACGCTTTCACTTTTAGTTTTTTGACAATAAGTGTTCTGCTTAATCTTATACAGCGTGACTGCGAAGATGGCATCATTTGCCAAGCTTTCAACCTCATTGTGATTCCATTAAAATGTTTGATGAAACATCTGATAAAGAAATAAGGAAGCAAATTAGATGGATTAGATCCGTAAATAATGATGATAATAATGTTATTTATACACTGTTCATCATTATTGTCATGCCACAACATAGCCACCACCATCAACATAACTTTCACAACCATATATTGTTCAGCGTCGTCGTCAACATCATTGTCGTACTTTGTATTGTCATGATCATCTATGACACTTTCAAATTTTAAGCATTCTATTTCAAATCCTCACCAATAATTCCTGCTTAATCTTACCTGATTTTCTCTTACCTTGCATATCCCCATTTTTATTATTCAAAAATTTGTTTGTACCTATGTTTCTTTTATTTTTATATGTATGTATGTATATTTATATACATATGTATG